ACACCAGTTGCTGGAGTACCAAAAAGCTGTGATGACAGTATTTTAATTGATCCACGACAATCGGTGGCATTGGAATGCGTGATGGAAATTTTCTGGTGCTTGATAGCCAATATACTACAAGAGAGCCATCTCCAAGCAGCTTTACCACACCACACCGTCAACAACAAGAGTCGTTAGATAAAGTAGAAACATACGCTTCTGCTGATAGCATCAGTAACATAAGCAACAGCAGTACCTCGTTTCTACACATGCCAAACAAAAGTAACAACAGCGATGGCCAGAGAACACCAAGCAAATATTTTTAATATTCGTTTTTGCTTATCTTAAGATTTCGTTTGCGCTTAACTGCTTGGAAGGCTGCTGATGCTGCTGATGACTATTCAAAGAAAATGCATTGTTTGTAATTCATTAAATGTGATGTGTACATACGTATGTATTTCTGTTTGTATTTTAAACTATGTACGTTAACAATTTACAGTGTATTAAATTACTAGCTCATACCCGCGGGTTTCACCCCGCGCTTTTATGCAAATATGAAAAATAATTTAATGATGTTAGATTTTATTTCTGTGCCCATTTCGTTATAGCGTTTTTCTTATTGTGAACTTCACATGGGAAAAGTCCCCCATATTCGAAAAATTCCCCTAACCGTAATTGTAATTTTTTTCGAGTGAAACCATAAAATTTGTTCACAAAATTGTTAGCGGGGAACAACTATCAATAAAATGTGAGCATACTTTATTAGTAATTGTACTTAATTTTAACAACTCTTTTATATCAACTAAGGTCTATTAATAAAACGCAGTTGACTCTTTTGGTCAACACTATGGCGGAAAATCCAGATATTGGGAAAGGCTTCCAAAAAGAAAACAAGGAGAAAGTGCTTGCATTTTGGAAGAAGCTACATGATTCCCTCAATAGCATGGGGCCACCATCAAAATCGATCTCCGATTGGAAAAAGGTAACAGCGATTGTACAGTTGCTATACAATGTGCGTCCGTCCGTTCAGCCTGTTTTAATACAATAGGGCTGTTCAGGATCTTGTGCTTATTGTCTTGCATTTGCATATTTCGGCGCATTTTTAAATTCACAACAATAAAATGCAAACGGATGCCGTGGTAGCAAGCATAAAATTTTAAAATGCAAATCCAAGACCATTTCTTCAATATCCTGAACAGTCCTATTAATACTTCAAATGTACCACTACATCTGTTGTTCCGTGGTGGAGGACGCAAGTTGGGCTGGTACTTAAAATTGTTATGTAGAATAATTTAAATATACAATACATAACAGGTCTGGATTGATCAAAAAAGATATGTGCGGAAGAAAGCTGTCCAGAATGCGCAAAACAGAAAAAAGACCGGTGGAGGACCGTGTAAAGAACACGTTTTTACTGTATTAGAACAGTCAATTTTGGACTTAAACGCGACAATTGAAAGTGTGGAAGGTGTCGAAGGTGGCAAAACTTTTCGTTTGCAACCAACTAAATCAATTGGTAACAAGCAATCTGAAAGAGACAGGCATGATGAACAAGACGATTTAAATGAAGGCACAGATGTGAAAGAACTCAGTTTTTTGGACAATATCGATTGCGAAAATATCGTTGAAATTGAAACGGAAAATACCACGCCAGCGTTCAAGCCAAAACGAAAAACTCAGGATAAAATTAACCCTTCCGAGCTATTAAGCATGGAGTTGAGTGTTCAAAAAGAAATAAGTGTTAACATTAGCAAGGGTCTGGAAATGCGGAGTGAACACTGCAAAGAAATGGAACATCAATTACAGGAATTAAAACAAGGCATTGAAAACTTTGGAAAAAATCAAGATGATTTACTAACGGAAACAAAACGTCACCATCTAGAAATTGAACGCCTTAGAAAAGTAGAAGTAGAACGTAAACTGGTACTCATAAACAGTCAAATCGAGGTTCAAAAATTGAAAATACTTGCTGCAAAGAGAAACTTAAACCTTAACTAGATATATAGTGCATACATTTATGTAATTAATGAATTATGTTTACATTCAGAGTCAAAAGTTAGTATACACTTTGTTCTAATATAATATTCACAACTATTTTCACAAAAAATTAAGGAAAATAACTGAATATTATATTAGAATAAGGTGTTCACTACACTAACTTTTGACTCTGACTGTATTTTATTTTATCATCCAATTGTGAAAAAATTGCTACATTATCTCAGTACAAGAAGTTTTGTCTATATGTTTTAAAAACACTGAATTTTTGTGACATTCTAAGGCTATTTGGATACGATGCATTCGTAATTTCTCTCGCTTTCTATATTAAAAAATTAGTTTTCAAAAGAAGTGGACTTAGAAAGTTTTCNCTGTATTTTATTTTATCATCCAATTGTGAAAAAATTGCTACATTATCTCAGTACAAGAAGTTTTGTCTATATGTTTTAAAAACACTGAATTTTTGTGACATTCTAAGGCTATTTGGATACGATGCATTCGTAATTTCTCTCGCTTTCTATATTAAAAAATTAGTTTTCAAAAGAAGTGGACTTAGAAAGTTTTCACTCCAAGCAGGAGATATGTATTTGTACTACGTTTATTGTACTTCAAACTTTTCAAAATCAAAGGTTGAAAAAAAAAATAAAAACGCTTTTAAGCTAAAACAAAACTAAAATTTTTCAAGTGTGCCATAAAACAATTCCAAATATTAAAAATAGTTCAAGATCCGAATAAGGCAGGACCTTCACCCATCTGTTTAATGAATGAAATTTATTTTTTATGAAAATTAACCTGTTGGGAAATATTTTGCGACTGGGTTGGCCGAAAAAATCCTGGCCAGGATATTTTTAATTAAATATTCAAAAATATTTTTTTTTTTTAATTTTGTATTCATTTGTTTAATCGAAAATGTAATTTTTTCACTAAACAAATAAGTGCAAAATTAAAAAAATAACAATTTTTGAATTTTTAATTAAAAGTATCCTGGCCAGGTTTTTTCCAGCCAACCTGCTAGCAAAATTTTCCTAACACGTTAAATTTCATACAAAATAGATTTCATCCACTGAAATAGGTGAAGGTCCTGCGTTATTCGGATCTTCTACTAAAACTGGCTTTACAAATTTTATAAAAGTGAATTTCCTATATTGGCTCTAATACGCTTAGCCTCATTGAGGTATGATGAGTTCGGTTCAGATTGTTCAGACTGTAGGTGTTCAAAATTTTCCGGCTGAGGAGGCGCATTTGAAATAAATGGTGTGTCATCGCATCGATAACTTATGCAAATATTGTGCAACGCACAGCAGACATTAATAATTTTTGCGGCTTTTTTAGGAGCGTAATGCAGCTCTCTTGCTCCTAGTACACACCTCCATCTATTTTTGAAAACGCCATTGGTTCTTTCGACAACGTTACGTGCGCGGGCGTGAACTTCATTAAACTTGCTTTCTGTGGAGCCCTCTCCCGCTGATCTGTGTGGTGTTAGCAGCCAAGGCTCCAATGGATATCCAGCGTCGCCTATGAAAAAAAGAAATGGTATTAAGTGATTCAAAGATTTTATTAAAAATCTACCTAGCAACCAAACATTTCTTCTGCCTCGCAAATAATCCTCCTCCATTGAAACCCTTAATTGACTGGTATTCCAAATTAATGAGTCATGGCAGGCCCCAGGGTGTGTAGCATCGACATATCTGATTGTCATTTTGTCATCACATACCTGCAGGTAAACTTTTATTAGCATGAGTATGCGCACAAGAAAATTTAATTAACTTACCAGCAAAACATTCATACTATAGTAGCCTTTTCTGTTATCGTATGAGTGTTTATTACTTTTAGGGCCTGCAATTTCAACGTGCGTGCCGTCCATGCAGCCAATGATGCCAGGGATATTAAATTTTTGATAAAACCTCAAAGCTATTTCTCGCATCGCTTCTTTGGTAGGCCACGTTATCCACTCATTCCAGTCCATGCAGCCAATGATGCCAGGGATATTAAATTTTTGATAAAACCTCAAAGCTATTTCTCGCATCGCTTCTTTGGTAGGCCACGTTATCCACTCATTGCAAAGGGATGACTCAAACACGTCCAATACTTCAGAAAGGAGTTGGCTGAAGCTCGACTGCGATAAGCCAACATCTACTTGCCTGCCCACGCCTTTTTGGTAAGGTCCTTCACCAAAAAATCTCAGGCAAGCTGATAGCTTTACGACGATGTCTATTGCAAAACGTTTTCCCGCCGTTGGCAAGCCGTTTTGCAAAACATCCAACAAATATTTGAACGTAGGCTTATTGATTCTATACAATTGGTGAAAACTATAAGAAATATACACAGATATTTTTAACTATTTTTTAAGTATTATTCATTTCATTTGCACCTTGCATTGGGTAATTCAAGAGGATTACACTTGTCGCGTAAAATCCTTCTAGACACCCTTTCAGCCAACTGCTGGCTGGAATTATATTCCTCTTCAATTACACAAAGGCGCAGGTAAGCACTAATCATTTAAATTTTGGTATTTAACACAAAATATTAAGAAAGTTTTCTATGCCGCCAAATCAAAACAAAAACATAAGTGACAGGCCGCGGAAGTTCACAATAGCATGTTAGAAATTCGAACATAAGTTTTCATTCGCACGAAATTCGCGATATGAATTTTTTGTTCATGTGAAATAAAAAATTCATGGGATTGGTTTATTCACATGAAGTTTACAATAAGGCTGAATACTTTTTGAAAGCTGGAAAATTAGTTGAGGCTTTTCTTTGTTAAGGTAATGATGTACATATATAAATAAGTATACAAATACATAATCAAAAATAAGAGAACGACTAAATAATACTGCTTGCAACAAAAACAAATAAACAAAA